CCCCCCCCCCCATCGATAGGACAATCCCCTAATTTTTACCCTTTCCAGAGGTGGAGGAGCAATCAATGGGCAGCCGCGAGGGGTAGCCCAGAGCGCCTCCGTCTCCTGCTGCTGCGAAGGAGCCCGTGAGTGGCACTGGAGGAGACTGCAGCGGCAGCAGGAGGCGGAGACGGAGGCAAAGGAGCAGCCGCGCTCAGCCGCTTCTCACTGCTACCCATTGACTGCTGTCTCCGCCGCCCAGTCGCAAGGAGATGATCGCTGGAGCAGAACACTGCATCATTAGCCAGCAGCAGTCAATGGACAGCCGCGAGAGGCAGCCAAGCGTGGCAGCTTCTTTGCCTCCGCCTCCTGCTGCTGCCTTCTGCGTATAAAATGATCCTCAATTTTTCCTCTAATTATTTTAGGAAAAAATGGCATTTTATACATGGGGAAAAAAATATGGTAATCTAAAAAAGCTGAAGTCCGTCTGAAGCCACACTCTTCGCTCATACTGGCACATGATATAGGAGCTGGCATACTTTCATGTAAAAATAAGGTTGAATGAACTTGCAAAGAAGTAACTTTTTTTTACAGTGTAGTAAAAAACGTAGCAAAGAGCTGTGTTGATTACTATTCTCAGACTGAACAAGCGCCAGTCAAAAAGACTTTGAGCAGGATATGAGTAGAAAAGGGCCTCTATCTCTCGTCTCCTACCTCTTCCCTTCTTTGCTTAGCTTCCCATCCTTCCCAAGGTCCATTTCCATGAGGAACATCTTCAAAAAGGACTGCATTCTACGAAGACACTGAAGAAACCTATATGTAGTTATGCCAGGGGTTCTATTCTAACCAACTTGAGATAAAACTTTACTGGCTAACATTTCATGTTTGCAAGGTGGAGGGTCATGGACAAAAACCCAGCAGCCACATCTGATAAGTCGAAGACGAAAATTTGAACACAGGACGCTCCAGAAGTCCAGAGATATTTTCAATTAAAATTTGTTGTTTAGTCGTTAAGTCGTGTCCAACTCTTCGTGGACCAAAGAGGATGAAGAAGCCCTGCGTTGTCTGCGTTTCTCCATGCCTCAAATCCAAGGGATGAAAGCAGAAATCGGCAACTCTAATGCGACCATAACTTAGTCGTATGAACTGGCTACTACACATGTTTGATGGAACACACGTGATGCATATTAGATTTGCCCCAACATATGAAGGTTGCCGGGTGAAGGAAGCCGGCAGCTTGTGCAGCCCTAGCATGCACACGTTAGTTTCCTGCTCGCAGAAGCGCAGAAATAAGTAACGGCACTTCAGTCCACGTGTCGCCAGCATCCTAAGATAGCGGGATGACATTCCGCCGGGCTACTCAAGGCGATGCCATTTCTGAGAGCATACCAGGCCCTCCTGTCTTCCACTGCCTCCCGGAGTTGGGTCAAATTCATGCTGGTTGCTTCGGTATCACTGTCCAACGATCTCGTCCAATTTTAATTGTCAATTAAAATAGCTTCCCGTTAATCTCTCTGGCCCTTATAAACTCCCCTTCTCGTACTTATCTGTGAATGACAAGGCTTTCTTCTTAGTCACTCAGCACATTAAGACTGGATGCAAAATTTTTATGACATCCGTAAGAGAGCTGGGAAG